ATGCTGTGCTCTCTCTCTCTCTCTCTCTCTCTCTCTCTCTCTCTCTCTCTCTCTCTCTCTCTCTCTCTCTCTCTCTCTCTCTCTCTCTTTCTCTCCCACTTCCTGCATCCAGGTTCATCATCCTCCAAAAAAAAGAGCAACCAACAGGTACAGTACATTCATGGCACCTAGACATCAGACAGGTATTCAGGTATTTCAAAAGAGGCGTGAAGAAGCCGCGACCTGGACCCACGTGCTTGCTGCTGGCATCGACTGCCAGCACTGTCGATACTCAGCTTGTAGCGACCAGCACCTGCTCAGTTTGCGAGCTCCAAGCCTGCGCAAGGACGGTTAGCTCTGTACAGAGCCCCACCACTGCCATCTCCATAAATTGCGAGATGATGAGAACGGCACAGTGCACCCTTCGAAAAGAGGCGTGAAGAAGCCGCCGACCTGCGCCTGACGGCAGAAGAATGCCCGCAAAACTCTGTGCCAAGTGAGAACTGAAAAACAGAGCTGGCAACGCCCAGAACGAAGCCGATTCATCCTGTACAGAGAATACCATATTATGACTATATTAACGGTCACAGACGACTCCTCTTGTGCGATCGCAAACACCGGAAAAACGGCATCAACCCATCGTAACCGCCACTGCCACGGGCTGGAAGCAATCTCTAACAAGCCAGCCGTGGCAGCAATCGCCGCCAACCAGAAGCAGAGGACGTAACAATCCATAAACTGTGTGCTTTGGGCACCTCACTACCGATAACTGGTACGGAACCGTATCGTAGGACCAGCTGGAACTGGTACAGACCAGCCCAAACCGCCGCAAACAACCCTCAACCACCCGATTCTACGCCACCAGGAACAGAGAGAAGAGGGCTCTCTGTTCTTTCTGACCTCTGTTCCAAATGTGGCAGCGATGCTGCATGCCCGTTTCTCATCCTGGGACAAACTGGGACCATCCTGGGACAAACTGGGACCATCCGGGGACAAATTGGGACCATCTGGAACTGGTACGGACCAAGAACCAACCAGCCATTGTTGCCCCGCGCTATTTCTCAAGGCTTGAATCGGATATTGTCAGCAAATGAGAGTCTTCGAGTAGGATGATGTGGAGTCGGCTGCACCCAAGCAAAGATACAGTTCGAGAGAGAATGAATGCACAGCATCACCAGCTGTCAGTAGTACTCTGTAGAGTCTGTACAACAGAAGGTGATTCTACGAAAACTGCTCAATCATCACATACGAGGACGAGCTACCGTCGTTGCCCGAACATAACACACACTGATAATAAATGTACACAAAGTGTCACAAACTAAGCTATCTTTCCGGCCCGGTGCGGCCATAATCAGGATCAGGATCAGGGTCCGTTGTGTTCGGCGGAAGAAGACTGTCGTCGTCAACTGTCTGTACTTCGGTAGATGATCTATACAAAACTGCTCAATCATCACACATTATGAGGAGGAGCTACCGTCTTCACCTGAATAGAACGGCTGGTCATTATAGCTGTATCTGGACTGAAAATTGCCCCAAAGACGGCAATAATGACCGCGCGTGCTATTTGGGGGAAGACGGTAGTCGTCAACTGTCTGTACAACAGTTCTGTTGTACATCGTAGTCACTCCCTTCCTCACAAAGCTTCTCCACAAATTTATTACTTCGTTTTCTTTTTAGGATGTAGTTTAAAACTGTTTAATTAAAAAGATGTGTTAGTTTATTTCCCATTCTTCCCATTACAGACCATTCATTTCAAAATTTCAAAATTGATTTGCAAAGATGGTACACTCCAATTGGTATTGTTGAAGCCACGCCACGACTCCAACCGCCCCTGCACAGTTCATTTTTCTTGTCTACAAGTACCGGGCCCAAATCTACAGTTCCTGGGCCCGGTAGAGCTTCCGTGGGGAAGGGTACCACAACTATGATTTTTTGAATTTTTTGAATTTTTTGAATTTTTTTGAATTTTTTGAATTTTTTGATTTTTTTGATTTTTTTGATTTTTTTGTTTTTTTTCCCCATGGCCGCAGTCCAGATTTCAGGCTCGGGGGAAATGCAACTTTTGGTTTGTACCTGGAACAACCGGCCTAGCTCAGTTGGTACACCCCCCCTGAACGGGTTGTTGAAATACAGACCAGGTGCTGAGTTCGAACTCCGCTGGAAGCAGATGAGCAACATAGTAAAATTCTGAATTACCTTGGGCTGGTCAGTTCGATGATGATATCCAAAGGCCGTCCCCCTTAGATAAAAAAGGGGAAAAAAAAAGGGGACAGAAAACAGGTCTGGATGGAGTCGTGGTTCGAGTGAAGCGGGGACCATCAACTCGTTCACATCTGTAAATACTGAATACTGCTCGACCATCTCACACTATTGAGTACCAGTAGCAGTGCCAGTTGATGGATGGGTTCCGTCATCACATATGGGGTTGTTTGCAACTTGGCATCATTCATTTGGTCACACTCCCCCCTATTAATGCCCAATTCCATAACTATTAAACACGCACTGCTAAAAAAAAAGGGAGGATGATCTATAACTTAGAATTCATGCAACAAACCCTGGACACATAACGAATCGCGAACCTGGTCCACATTTAACTGAATGGTACACAGACTCAACTTTTAGTAAACAGATGGCAAAAGACACATCATCAGCTTGAATCCTGAAGCAACCAGATAGTACAATACTGTCAGGGGCTACCCCATTGCGGCTACCCAATTGCTAGAAATGAAAAAAACAAACGCTACCAAAGACTAGTGGCAGACCAACCATCCACCAGTACACAGTGAATCAAAATTCATTCAGGCAGGAATTAGAATTTCATTGCCTCCAAAAAAAAATAAAAAAAAAACATTGCCTCCCGAGTCCCGACACATCACTCACCACAACATTATTCCACACCACCAAGAGCAGATCTTCAGCTATCACACTGTGAACTACGTACGACAAGAAACACTTCACTCTACCAACACACACACACACACACACACACACAGAGAGAGAGAGAGAGAGAGAGAGAGAGAGAGAGAGAGAGAGAGAGAGAGAGAGACTCCCAGTGAACTGCCGGGAGTCTCTCTCTCTCTCTCTCCTGTCTCTTATACACATCTAGATGTGTATAAGAGACAGCACCCGCACCCACCCCACCCACGAGGCATTGGGTCAGGTGTGGGTCTTGATAAGCTGGCATGGGTAGGATGAGGGTGGGTCAAGGCGAGCAAGCCGGGTG